CACTAGGCCCGAAACGTCAGCCTCTCTGCTCCTATGATGCTGCTTGGCCTGCTGTGTTCATCCAGCCCTGCACCTTGTTGTCTGTGGAGGTACCAGTGTTGGACTGGGGTGGACAAGGTCAGAAATCATATGACATCAGGTTATAGTCCAACAGGTTTATTTGAAAACACAAGCTTTCGTAGTGCAGCCCCTTTGTCAGGTGAACAATGAAAGCACACTGAACACAAAATTTATAAGTAAAACTTCAAAGGGTCACACAACTGATGAGGATGTGTTACACAAACCTAAGATGCTGTTAAATCTTTAATCAGTTAGAAGTTTTTATTTGATTAATATGTATATGTAAATCTCCAAATTTCTTTAAAGTCACTGCCCTGAGAGAACTGAAGGTTATATCAGTGTAAAGAAGAGGTGACATTTTAGGTCAGACAATGTATGTTAGGTGTGAGGCCTTGTTTAGAATCTGTTTGTGTTTTGGTTTGGAGTCAGACTGGTTTTATTCCTAAAGTAGGAATTTATAACATGCCACATTGACTGACTGTCTATAATTTGTGTGTTTTTTGAACAAAATAGAATGCAACTGCAAATACAAATTCAATTTGTATTTTAGTTTCATGCAAATTTAACAGTTAAAATACAACAAAATACAGTGAAAATCTTTAATTTGTCACCACAAAATGGCACAATTTTGAATAATTTAAGAATAAGGCGAAAAAAAGAGAAAGACATAGCTTGAACAGAGTCCATCAGTCCTGAGCCAGCTCATCACTATCAACAACGCCTGGGTCACCATCCCTCCACCACCACTTTGCTGCTCGGCCAATACTCCTCCACCATCACCTGCGCTGGCCAACAAACATCAGCATTATGTCTCTCAACTAGCATTCCATTTGCTTTCCCTGTTAGCTGCTAAAATTGAATGCAAGCTTTTTGTGACCTGTGCATGAGGACTCCCAAATCCCACTCTGCTGCAGCTTTCTGCAGGCTTTTGCAATTTAAATAATATTACATCACACTTCCAATGACCTCAGGCCATTCCAAAGCGGATGGCACAAGTAATAATTCTGAAATGTAGTCATGGTTGTAAAATAGACAGGACAGCTGCCAACTTGCACAAAAATCTCAATGTGAAGATGATTAGACAGTCTGGTTCTTTGCCATGTTGACTGAGCAATAAATATTGACCAGGAAGCTGGGAGAAATTCCCTGTTTTTCTTTAAAGTTAGGTCATCTAGTGGTGAATTCAAGAAGCACCTCGTCACAAAGTATACTGGTTATCTAGAAATCTCTTCTCTAAATATCAGCTGGAGGTCAACTGAATACATCAAAACTAAGATTTTGGTTTGTAAGACCAGGTTATTAGCAGTTCTAGAACCAAACTGGATAATTAGTGTTAAGACGCATTTCTGTCAAGGCCGAACAGGTCTTATTGCCTGAATGGCCTATGTTCCAATGTTCAATTTGCTTGCTAAGGAACACATCAAGTAATAAATGAGTTGAGTTAACAATTTGTTTAAGGACCTCAGAAAGAAGCATTAACTAAAGAAAAAAACCATCAAATGAATAGAGAAATTTACCAAAGAAGCCAATTAAAAGTGGTGGTGACATTTCACAGAGGTTGGTGTGTCCATAAGTTGTTGTGAGATAAAAGGGTTGAATCTTGCTTCAGTTCATGGTTTTCCTGTGTGCAATAAACAAATATGTCCTTTTGTTAACGTACAATGGCAGCCTTTTGTAAATATGTTCAGTGACGGACTTCCATAGTACTCAAAAAGAAAACATAAAACTTACAATCTATCAGGTCAGATTTGGAATCTGTCCTGTCCCATTTTACTATCATCAGGGATCAGAACATTCCTGTTAGTTAATAAGTTACACAAATGTCTCTGGCATTTCCTCCAAATACTCACAGCCCTGGTCATGTTTATGGGAGTAGCGGTGCTGTTTGCAGAAGTGTTATATCAAGTTGTAATACACAATGTATCCAATTGTACAGAATGATAAAAAGCAACTACTCATCCAAGTATTTAATTGCAGGGAAAAGAGCTAACAGGGAAAAGAAAGAGGCATGAAATACCAGGCATTCTGCTGAAATATGACATTAGCTCTCTTAAGATCCTGATATCGGAAAAAGGAATGCCCACCAGCCAGTTTCTCATTCGCCTTTGCGGCATAATCGGTGGAATTTTTACTACTGCAGGTAGATACGCAATTTTTAAAAATATAAATGATGCAACAGCCCTGACAAAAGCAAGTGAATGCACAAGTATCCCTAAGTAGAGGTATTTCACTGACTCCAGTGTATGTACCAACTGTGGTTCAGTGCGTTCCTCCAGACAGACTTGAGTACACGATCTACATTGCACTGGGTGTCAGTACTGGGGGAATGCTGCAGTCTTTTGGATGAGACATTAAATTAAGTCACAACTGACTTTTATTCCTACTTTCCCTAATTTGATGGGTTTACTCCGAATATCACTAATCCAATGTAGTTCTGACAAAGCAATGTTCTTTATTTAAGCAAAAATGCAGGCTGAAAGCTGGATGTCTGTAACATTCAAGGTAGTTAGTATCTGCTCAGGTATGACAATAGACCACCATAATTATCAGGAGCTTGTGCCAAAGGAACACTGACCATTTAATCAGTCAGGGAGAAAAAAAGACACATTCATCAAGACACTGGGTGCCCACAGACCTGATGGTAAAAGATTTTCCACTGGAAGCAAATTTAATTCTAGTGTACTGATAACAGGGCTCATGAGAAAGAGTATAGAGGTTCTACTGGTTAAACTTTACTTGTTGAGAGAACTTGTTACAAGTCTGGTAACAGTTAGGGGTAATGCCAAGCTTTCCATTGCTAAGAATAGATATTGCATTGGGCAATGATTTGTTTGGCAGAAAGATATATCATTCAAACTGAAAAGTACAGCTGAGAGAGACTGGAAAGACTTGTGAAAGCAGGTGGTAGAAAGACTGGGAAATGTGAAAGGTTCAGAAGCCCCACCGCTGGTTGGAATAACTCAGGAAGGGGCATTTGAAACAAGCTGATAGGAAGCAGTAAAGGGGCCAGGTACTGAGAGTGTTTTGGAAACCCTACAATGGGTATTGAAGCCCACAGGGTTCAGACTGGCCCAGGAATGGTTAGTTTGAATTAAACAGGACCAAGGATAGGCCAGTGTTATTTAAAATGGTCAGAGCAGAACCTGAAGGAATTGGGCCAAAAGCCATAAAAGAAAGCCAAGAGCGAGCCAGGGAGGATTAAAGTTTGAGATCTGGTTGATAGATACTTTCATGGTAAAAATCACAGGAAGATCAGACGAATTCTCAAACGGGCCAGGAGAAAGTGAAAGCAGAGCCTCACTTACTGGATGAGCCACAGGAGAATACAGCAGAGACTGACAAACCACCAGATAGCAATAGTGAAAAGGGAAAGACAGTGAAACAGGTTGAAGAAAAACCTATTCCCAAACTAAAAGGAAAAGGGTAAGGAAGATATACCATAGTAGACACAAGGAACATGTAACTGCATTAAGAACGGAGTTAACCACTGGGAGATCAAAGCGCGTGGACCAAGTTACAAACCTTAATATGTTCAATTGGGGTTAGGTAAAGGGAGGGTGAGATGCAAGACACAAGTCCAGATATCCTATAGGGGGCATACCTACCAACCACCTAAAAATCAAACTTGTATTGTTGGATTATAGGAATAGGCAATGAAGCATTAAAATTAGGGAAGATAGCTCAACCCAGAGAACAAATGTTCATGATACAGAAATGTTGCAATAATGGCAAATACGAACAGCCAATTTTCAACTTCCATCATGATTGTTATACCCAAGACCTTTGACGGATTAAAACAAAAAGAGATAAGTATTGAATTAAAATGGATGTCATGATTATCTAACCAGAAACTGGAGAACATCCAGGACACTATGTGGAATAAATCAAATTATCTACATTGAAATTACCATTTAATCTAGACATTGAAACCAGCCAATTGATTCAGCATTAAATTACTCACATCTCCTGATTTAATTCACAATGGTATAATAAGGACATATATTAGACATCAAAGACTGTTTGCCACTGTGCAAATTTGAAAGACAATGGAGCCAGACTTGGGAACTCATAAACAAACTATATTTCATTAGCTGCTTTTTCAGTCGCAGAGAGAAAGTATGATGGACTCATAACATCATAACCAGTAAGTTTCCTCTCTCTCCCTGATGGTTCCTCATCATCTCAGAGGGCAGCACATGGTGAAAAAGAAAATGGGAAAATAGCCATTCATCAAGAACTCAACGATATGTACAAATTTCACCATTGCTGAGGATACAAAGCAACAATTTAAAAAAAAAATGTGGTCTCAAATTAAAAATCTAACGTCTCAGGGACTTGAAGAACCTTTGAACTGTGCAACACTTGTTCTGTCCTTGTGAGACACCTTCTTTTTAAATTTGTGTGTTTATGGTACATTTTTATTACTTTTTCTTCTGTTTAGCAGGTAAGAACGTGCTTTTTTAATTCAAGAAAGTCATATAATTGGCTCCTTCATTTTAATCTAGCCTACTATATTTTTAACTGAAGTGATATAGTGTATATTAAAAAGAAATAAAAACATTGTTGATATTGACTGAAGGGGGCTTATAAAGATGCCAGCTGGCTTATCCCTCTTCACAAGAATGTTCCATTAATTTTTGCTGCTGCAGTTCAAAATTCTTTCAGTATCTCATGATTAGAGTTTTATATCATCACATAAGAAATATGTGATTTCCTTTGAAACATTATTTGTCTGACCAGTTCTTTCAAACCTTCATAGAGGTAATTTTTTTTTGTGTAGCTACAGGTTTTTTTTTGTAGTTATCATTATTCCGTGTGTGTGTGTGTGTATATAAGGCATAGGTCATAATCCTCAAGCTTCTTCTACTATTTAGTAGAATCATTGTTAATCTTCCACCTCAACTCCTTTCTCTCGCTATTTATATATTGCATCCATTGGTGTCCAGAATCAATAAATTCCAAAACAAAAACAGAAATTGCTGGTGAGACTCAGCAGGTCTGGCAACATCTGTAAGAAAGCAGTTACCATTTTGAGTCCAGTGAGTCTGCACCAGACTCTTCATCTATAACTTCCATCCTGAATCTGCACGGCAACCAGTCAACATTTGTTAAGATCATTCATTGGTCTTGAGGAGACGATGTTGAGCAGCTTCTTATGCATTTAGTGAAGGTGCTTCACAGTACTGGTTGGCAATGAATTCCAAGATTATAACCCAGGAACAAAAATCTACCAAAGCCAAAACACTTGGAAGAGAATGTGGATGATGTTCTGATCTATCTACTACTCTTATTCTTCTTGGTAGTGGAGACCATGGATTTGGTTCTTGTCTGCACTAAGCTAGAACTTTCATTGAATTATGTTCAACAAACAAAAACACAGTTCAAAAGCTGCCACTAGCGACCTAATCTAGCCTGCTCCTCTTCTTTAGAACTATGGTATATTTTACATCACCCAGATAAGGCAACACTTCAGGCAGTGCAACTCTCTGTACTACAGTGCAGGAGCGTCAATGAAGATTATATGGTTAAATTTCTGGATAAGCATTCGAATACACAGTCTATCAACCAAAAGCAGATATATTGAATCATATGATGGCTACAAAACATTAAAATAATTCATGAGATTCTCTATTGGCTCTCTTAAGAACAAGCCAATTAGTCCCCCTCCCTTCCTTTTCCTGGTTGTCCTGTAAATTCTTCTTCCTTGGAAAATTATCCACTTATCTTTTGAAAACCCTGATTGAATCTTTCACCACTCACTCGTAAAGCATTCTTGATCGTAATCATTCATTGGGTAATAAAGTTCATGTTGACATTGAATTAATGCAGTTTGCAAAAGAGTTAACATCTTCTAGGTCTTGGAATCTGCTGAGAATAGTTTCTCCATTTATTGTTTAGACCTCTCATGATATTGAACACCTCTATCAAATATCCTTTTCCAAGAGCAACGCCAGTTTCACCAATCTATCCAAATTAACTAAGTCTGTCTTCACTGGGACCATTATTGCTAATCTTTTCTGCACCATCTAAGGTTTTTACATCCCTCCTAAAGTATATTGGCCAAAATTGGACATAATACTTCTGTTGAAGCTGAATCACTTCTATAAAGTTAACTTCCCTCTTTTCCTACTCTATGCATCTATAAAAAACCTACATATCTTTTTAACCTCTTAACATTTTGATAAGATCAAAGAAGGGTTACAAATGCATTTAATAATCTTGGTCCTGAATATTTCTACATTTCTCTCCTTAGGACTGTTACATAACTTATGTGGGTTCATTATTAATCTTCTTTGCTGCTAATGCAAGCTCAGAACAGATTAAAGGTAAGGGAAACAATGTTGAATATTTTGCAGCTTATAGCAAAGTAGCAGCCATTGCCTAACCGTCTATTTAGGATAATGAAGGGCTTTGGACAATCTTAATTCTTCTAGAGACCCCAAAGTCTCATCATTGCAGCAATCTCCAACAAACGCAGGGTTTATTACTTCATTGCATTCTTAAATTTGCCCTTTTGCGATTTTCAAATAGTTCCCCAAATGACTTTTCCACTGTTTGACAAATACTGATTGTCTCTGCTATCCAGTCCTTGGAGAGGGTATAGAAGAAATTTAACAGGAAAATATTGGGGATGCAGATGAATTGGACAGACAGGGATTGTTCTTGGAGTGGAGAAGCTTACAGAAAAACCCAAAGTAGTAGTCAGAATAATGAGCAGTTTTGAATGAAGAAACAGTTTCCTCTGGAAAGTGAGTCAAAAGTTAGGAGCTGTAACTTTAAAGGATGAGAAGAATAGCAGTCCAAAGAGGACTGGCAAAATCTGCAACATTCAACCTGAAAAGGTGGCATAAGCAGATTCTATTGAAATTTTAAAATCATAAACGAATATGTACTTGAAGACAACTGCTTTGCAAGACTACGGGAAAAAGACAAGGTGAGGGATTAAATTGGACAGCTCTTTCAAAAAAAAAACAGATTAGACATGACAGGCCAAATTACTTCCTGTGCTGCAAGATTTCATGACTCATTTAAAGTTGAACAGCACAAGCTTCTAGAATCCTTTCTTAGACCCCTGAAACTGATGGCCATCATAGCATAGCCCTGTTAATGGATCTATGCCTTGCATACAAATGTTTCCCCTTTCAAAATCTGACTGTGTTCTATTGCATAAAAATCAACTTAAGTAAACTGTTCCAGAAAACAGGACAGAAGAAAATCTAAAATGTATCTAGTACAGAATTAACTTGGCATTACATTTTTAGTGTGTGCTCAGAATTCCACAGTAAATTGTACCGGTTAAACTTGGTTGATACAGAACCAACTGCTATCATCATGACAAACTATTAGTAAAGGAAGAGAATGGAAAGAGTTATCTAGTCAATCTGCTGAAATCTTCAGTTAAAAATTGTTAAGAAATTCTAAATGCATATTAAATATTTGTCTATTTCAGACCAGAATGAAGTTCTGCTCCAACAAAATGATACCAGCATGAAGCATACATCAGCATATGCCCATCATGTTTAGCAGCACAATAAACCACTAATTTTAATGAAATAAATAAATACTCCAATTGTTTTTTGGTTCTCAAAGGCACCCATTTAATTTTCCATCCATAAATCAGTGTAGTTGTACTGCAAACTGTGACACCGACACTTGTCCATTTTTCATACAAACAGTGTAAAAAATATGAATGCTGCCATTGCAGTGTAGCATTTTTAACATTGCTTTCAGAATGAAAAAAGTTTTAATTTGAGTGCACAGAAAATCAGTTTTCCTAAAATTAATTCCAATACAGATTTAACCTCACTGGTACACCTGCTGATAACCAATAAATAATAACTATTTTGATTACAAATGTCATCTATTGTCCTCTGTAGAAACATTCACTAAAAAAGTCATTATTATTTAAGGCAGCCAACCACACAATGCACATTGAAGTACTATTTTTACAACATTTTTGTTAAAGAGCACAGCAAAAGCCTGTGCCATTTTTGCATACCAGCTCCTTTCCCCATGCATTGCTGCAAATTTCTTTTAAGTGTTGTCTACAGCCTAGTCCAGGAGTCTTCAACAATGATCCCCTGTAGATTGTGTGTCTTTTAAGAAGAAAAATATAGCATCACAAAGTCACCAGCTTCCAGTTAACTAAATCGAAAAGGACATTCAATGTTTACAAAATATGTTTTATTTTTCTTTCTTACAACCACCTAAGGTTAGGCTCGAATTTCAGTTGCTAACACTGAAAGTGACAGACACCTTCATATGATAAATTTAACCAGGTCTCGGGCTGGGCGCTGGCTCCCAGCTTGGAGATTCAGGAGGTGGTAGTGAAATGGAAAGGGGCAAACAGGACAAACTTTTTGCTACAGAAGGCAAACAACATTCTGAAGACTGGAGCATTCCATAAAGTTTTTTCTTACAGGTTTGATGTCCAGCCATTCCTTCCTCACTCAAAGCAGAGGATGCTGAGTAACCAATTAACATTTTTGCTGCAGTGCATCAATGTAGTTCAGCTGCCAAACTACTCACTGCAGTCATCTCAAGCTCCATAAGCGAAGGAAAAAGCAACTTTGTGACAAGTTACTGGGGACTTCCATCAATAAGCATATCTATGCTGTCAAATTAGGAATATTTCTTTTAAAAAACCCATAATAATGATGAGACTGCATAAACAGTGCTGCAAATTAAAGGCTGGCGATTTGGGTCTTGGCTTCATTTAACCTCTTGCCATTAATTTGGAATAGATCATCTTGATTTTTCAATATAAACATGAGAACCTCAATGCCATATTTCATTCAAACAAGCACCAGTACCAACAACTATTAATTAGTAAGGTCAAATGGTCAATATTGTAGGTTAAGAGCTGTAATCACATCAATAGTAAGTGCATTGTTTATAATTAATCGAACGATTTGAGATGTGTCCATGTTTAAGGTTAGTTGGGCAGAGGCGAAGCAATACCCACAAGTTAAACGAACTATTTGAATCATTTCTATTAGTGAGATATTAAAGATTACACTTGTCATGAAGATGCAAAAGGTAGAGAGAATATTCACAGCTCAAGTTTTAAAGAGGCAACCTGTAACATAATTTCAAAAACATTAAACTTTACTTATTTCAACTTTTATACCAAAAGCAACAATGCCAGCATCCCAATTGGAACAATCAAAAGGAAAATGGCAGTAAATCAGACAGTAAATGACATTTTCCTGCATGTCTTCGAAAATCTTCAGCAGGAAGCCTCCCCCGCCTCCCGTAGTGCAGAGAAGTCAGGCAAATTCTTATACCCCAAATAAGATAGCTTTCCCTGCTCCCCAAGTCAAGGCAAACACCATTAATTTCCCTAAATGTTATCAAACTAATTATACATGACTGCAGAGATCATACTATGTTAATTCACCAATCCCAGTTATCTTTCAGGAATGTTTACATGCAGCAGTTAGCTTCAATGTTCTGATAAACCCAATTCTCTAAATCAAAATTTGTTTAGAAAAACGTTGTGGTGGAAGTAGAGGGTGAAACTGGTCTGGGGCTGCGGTGTGAAATGGACGACCGCAGATCAATTGTCCGTTTTACACTCTGATAGATTTCATTTTCTATTGAAACCAAACCCATCCATACCTTCTCCCAACAAATTTGCTTTTTGCACTCAGATATTCAGTTAAAATTTCCGGAGTTTAAACACACTGCCCCAGTTTCTCTGAATAGTCAAGGATTGTCCTGCAGGCCACTGCTGCAGAAAGTATGAACTCAAGTTACCTCTGATACCTTCAGTTAACTACACCCCTCCCAAGCAGAATGCAGAATTTCAAGTCTGGAGCTTGTTTACCAATTAATTACAGCATTGTTGCTTTATGCTCAGTTCAACAACAGCAATCAGTACAATTGCTATTGAAAGGCGGGTGGGGTGAAGAAGTTCAACCAAATCCGATCACTCAAGTTGATAAGTAAACAAAGGCAAATTCAAACCTCAATTTGACTGGTCAGGAGGTTTCCTTCACAGTGTATTTTTCTGTTTCACCATTGAATTTTATGCCAAATGCACTAACCCATTAACCAAAAGGTAAGTTGATAAAGCCAAACTGAACATGCACTGAGTAAATCAGCACTTACAGACAAAGTTTACTTGTAACAGGACATGTTTCATAAATTTTCCATGAAGAGGCAGAGATGACTAACTGAAATTCGAATACAGTTACTCAATGGAAAAAAAACTAGTTTTCCCCATATCATTCTTTCCTCAATGTAAAGCTTACTTCAAACCTTGAAACTGATTTTTCCTCACTGTACTTCAGTGCATTTCTGTATTTTTAATGGTGCTAGATAGCCGACCCAAATTATTATAATGTAGCTTTAACAAATTACATACATGACAACATTTAACGAGATACAGATTTTTCATTTCTTACAAACATTAACACAAGATTTATCAATGTCCAGTACAGCTATCTATAATGCATAGGTGACTGAGTGCTTGTGGTTCTGTCAGTATCTCATGGTACTCGATGCCCGAAAGTAGGACAAAAACTTGTAGCACAGGCTGACCACAAAGTACCAGATGTTCCGTGCCATCTGTGATCTTGCGATGAAAATTCTCCAGATCAGGACAACCAGGATGGTATTGAATGCATAGCGAATATTTCTCAACCTACAATTAAAAAAAAGTTCCTTAGGCTTGCTATACATATATGTTTAACCATGGCTTAGAACTAAGCTATACCATCACCAACATGTACCTCAAAGTTTCACATGAACTAGAATGCATTGGAAAGGATGATCAACAATAAGATACGACTCCATTTTCTCATATTAATTTAATGATGAGCAGAGATAAGGTATATGAATTGCTCTCATTAAAATTCACTCTTTGGGCAACATTTGTCAAGGCATTTTTATTGACCATCCCTCACCGCCTTCAATTAATTGCCCGTGCAATTGAGAAAGACATGGGGTCACAAAGATGGCTTCACAGAAGTGTTACAGCTCAGAAGGCAACTGGGCCCATTGTGTCTGAACTAGTTCTTCAATGAGCATCATGTGTTAGTCTCCTCTCTACTTCTCTAATATGCTTTTTCACTTCTCCTCTAATTCTCTTGGTGCTTAATGGTGTTTTCTGACACCTGTCACAAGCAGTTTTTTTTCATCTTAATTTCTATTTCCTTTGTCATCCAAGGAGCTCTGCATTTGTTTGTCTGGGTATTCCTTTCTGAGGGAATATACCTTGACTGTACCCAAGCCATCTCCTCTTTTACAGCTTTTTCCACCAAATTTTCATTTCAGTTTATCCTGCCCAGCTCTATTCTTGACCTTGAAGTTAGATCTCTGCCAATTAATTCTCTTACTCTGGACTGACCATTGTCATTTTCCATCATCCTAAACCATGCAACACAATGATCACTGTTTCCTAAATGTTTTCCTTCGGATAGCTGATCCACTTGATCAGCAAACTAGGTCCAGCAGTGTATCATTTCTTGTTGGACTGGACACTGCTGCAAGAAAGTCTCCTTACTACAATCTCGGAACTTGTACCCTTTGCTGCTGCTTACACTACCACCATCCAGGCCATATTTGGATTATTAAAGTAACTCATTATAACCACTATAACTTGGTGTCTCTCTGCAATTTCCCCGCAGATTTGTTGCTCTCCCTCCTTCATACTAGTTGCTGGTCTATAGACCGGACAGAGCAATGTAACTGCCCTTTGTTCCTTAGATCTAGCCAAGTTGATTTGGTCTTTGACCATTCGAAGTCATCATCTTTCTTCAGCACTGTAATACTCTCCCTAACCAAAACTGCCACCCGTTGTTCTTTCCTTCCTTTACTATCTTTTCTGAACACACTGTACCCAAGAATGTTTATAATTCAGTCTTGGCCTTGCTGGAGCGTGGTCTCTGTTCTAGCCATATTGTCATATTTCCACATTCCAATCTGCACTCTTATTTATTACTCCGCAATCTTGTTTATTATGTTCCATGTGTTCACACACATACAGTCAATCTAATTTAGAGTTCATTACTTTGTCCCTTACTCCGACTTCAGCTATTAACATATTATTCTCTACGCTAATCTCTGTCCAAGTAGTTTATCATTTGTTGTAGCCTTGTCAAATAATCTCACTTGGTTCCCACACTCCTGCCAAGTTAAAGCCCTCCCAATAGCACTAGCAAAATCGCGTACAAAGAACTCAGTCCTAGCTCTGTTCAGGTGCAATCTGCCCAGCTTCTAGTCCCAAAAATCTAAAGCCCTCCCTCCTGAACCATCTTTCCAGCAAGGCATTCATCTGTCTTCTCCTTCTATTTCTGTATTCACTTGCTTGTAGCCCTGTAGTAATTACTGGCAGTTATTACATTTGAGGTCCTGCTCACTAATTTTTTTTAACCTAGCTCCTTAAATTCTGATTGCAGAGTCATATCAAAAATTGGTGGTATACTGGACAGTGAAGAAAGTTATCTAAGATTACAAAGAGATCTTGATCAATTAAGTCAATGGACGGAGGAGTGGCAGATGGAGTTTAATTTGGATAAATGTGAAGTATTGCATTTGGTAAAACAAAGTCGGACAGGACTTACACACTTAATGGTAGGGCTCTAGGGAATGTTATAGAACAGACAGTCAGGTACATAATTCTTGGAAATTTGCGTCAAAGGTAGACAAATGGGACTAGTTTAGTTTGAGAATATGGTAGGTGTGGACTGGTTGGACCAAAGACTGTGTTTCCATGCTATATGACTCTGATTCCATACCCCCATTCCTACTCAAGTCATTGGTAACAACGTGGACCACGAATTCTAACCATTCACCCTCCCCCTGAAAAATGCCCTGCAGTCACAGTGGAAGTGGAGACACAAGATACAAGTTCAACCATGGCCCTACTAAATGGTGGAAGGGCACACTCCATCTATATGGACCAGACTCCTTCCCCAAGTAAATCTACAAACTGATGATCAACATTTTGCCCATACTACCAAATGCAAATTACATGAGCATTTAAAACAGGGTAAATTAAGAACAGAACCTGAAATGGGCCTGCAATATGCAAAGTACACCTGCTGTACCGTGTGTGTGTGCGCGCGTGCGTGTGTGTGCCTGTGTGTGTGTGGGGGCGTGGAGTGGAATGGCGTAAGAGCATACAAGCAAACGAAAAGGCCAACAATGGTGTATCTTTTTGAGAAGGAATAGAAGCAGGGATAAGTGTGAATGGAGTTGGTGGCAGGGAAAGAGCGAAAAGATAGATTTCAGGAAGCCTTCCCATAGTTTAATTCAAGTTACTCAGGATATGGTCCACTTATATACATCTTTACAAGTCTTCCAAATGGCATAGCATTTTATGGCTCATATGAAACACAAAGTTAGGTTATTAAACCAATTTAAGTCCTGTACAATTAAACTGTGGTTACACACACGTGCAAACACACCTTTGTATAGCAACTGAAAATCAGAGGATGACCACCACACTAATACAGCCACTTTAATCTAAACAAAGTGTGTGCTCTCATTTCTTTTTTAAAGAAGCACCTGAATTACATCCTTTCCCTATGCATCACTCTTCTCACAATGCAGGAGCTACAATTTTAATTGTATACATTATATGTCACCAAGCCAACATACTTAATCAGATGTTTCCTGGCAGCAGGCAGTCCGGACAGCTCTTCATTTAGCACATATTTTTTGGTTCCCATACAGTAATTCTCCATGTACTCTGCCCAGTGGAGCTGTCTTACATCAAAGTTGAATACCTTACAATGGAAATAAAAACACAATTCTTAGTAAAACACTGTAAACAGATAGAGATATAGTGAAGCAACTCAGTCAGGTATAGGCAGCCAGCAGGTTTGCGAAGAAATCTAGTGAATTACCAAGTAATTTCATAAATTACCAAATCAGAAGTCTCTGGAACCACAGTTAAAAATAACCTGCTTGAACATTTTAGATCACAGTACATTTGTCCTTCAATCCAAGTAGATATTTCACACAGATTGATCTTCACAAAAAAAACTATACGTTTAAAATATTTCTATTAGCAGAAGGTGCAGTAACCAGTAAGGAATTGGATTCTTTTTTTTAAAAATGTGAAACAAAGCATGCAGTTATGATCTCAAAGCATTTGCCTTTAAGGAGGGATGAAAGCATATTCAATAATGACCTCTGAAAAAGAATTAGACAATTACTTGAAGGGAAGTTTGCGGAACAATGCGGAAAGAGGAAAGGGAAAATGGGAATAACTGGACAGATCTTTCAAACAGCTTGTGCTGTAAGATCACACAATTATTATCCAGGTCAGCTCTATTTCATAAGCTGAAAATGACAAGTAATAATTAGGGAGCAAGCTTGAACCACAGTACAGTTTGTGACATCTGCAGCACTGCACGGCAATGCTGCATCCATTTTCTGCAAAGTGCAATGTTTTATACATACGCAGTTGAATACTAACAGTTCCCAGAATGAAAAGAACTGTTTCTTGAAGGGCATTAAAACAACAGCACAGACAAGTTGGGCCAAATGTTAACACAGCAGAGATATCACTGCACATGAATTCAGAACGAGTTAAACTGTAATAAAAAAGTGCTGACGTATTTAAAAAGGTATGCGAATGCTGGAAATCTGAAATGAAAACAGAAAATGTTAGAAACATTCACCAGTCAGGCGACATCTCCAGAGACGTTTCAGGACAATGAACTTGCATCAGATTGGAAAATGATCATTAATCCCACATACTAAGCCTACATTTTTTGCTTTTGAGAGAAGCTGCTTTACCTGGAATGTCTCCATTTCCAGTTTCTACTTCGAAAAGTGCTTAATTGGCAGTAAAACACATTGGGACGTCCTGACTTAATGAAGGACACAAAATAAATCCAGTTCTTGCTTCAAAAATGTGTGTTTTGGAGAGGACAAGACAGGTTGTACCTCCCTAATATGGTACTTACAGTACTTCCGGTCTTCCTTGTAGTGGTTCATTTTTTTTGGTAAACAATGAACAAAGATCATTGTCCAATTTTGATACCCTAAATCCTGTTTTTGGTGTCCAATTGAAAAATCATTCATCAATTAGGCATGTGATTGATACAAGCCAAGGTGAAGTCTTTGTTTTTGAAGCATTTGTGTATTAAATATATTTGACTTCCTGCAGTCTGGCAAAGGCCTGCTCTCAATGCTGCTGGCTTAGGCGGCCATAGTACTGAGAATGCATCCAAAAACTGAATCAAAGATGCATTAATTTTAATGAGCAAGGGATTGGTATAACTTGGTGTGAACTGCCCCGAATGTTGCTTGTTCATGAAGCATTTGTTATCAATGCTTCCCTTTCCCCTAACCTGCAGTCCATCATGTAACTTCAAGCTTAAGTTCAGCAAGAGTGGGAATTGCCCTAGCACTTTACTGGTTATTTTAAAGAAGTCCTTCACAAGTAACAACTTCTTTTAGGTCTCATCACAGAACGACGCCCATTTATACAGTACGTTTGACTTGATGCCACAGCACATCACAAGATTGTTTGAGAACACTGGAAACACTGGAGTCACACATGGAAATATTTAAACAGTATTTCTCAGTCAAAGGCAGCTTTTCAGAGCATCTTAAATGAAAGAGAGACAGAGGAGTTCAGGGAAGGAACTCCAGAGCTTTAGATCCAGGCAGCTAGCATGGCAAAGGACATGCTGAATGAATAAGATGCCAAAATTGGAGTAATACAGGATATAAGCTTTCCAACAGCTGTTTACACAGGCCTAAAAGCTTCAGAGGTTGGTCAAATTAAGACATAAAAGAAAAAGCAGACACACAATGACAAAGGAAAAGAGAAACTGTAGTCAGTTGCAAACAAATCTGTGTGCTGAGCTCTTTAAATGGTCTGTAACATGAACTTGCAGTTCTCGGTGACAGAAACATTTCTTATGCAGCCTCAGTCTCACTTGCTAGGCTATACCACAGTGCTGAGCAACCAGGTGTGCTGAAAGCATAATGGCTATTGACATTGCAGTGAAGCATTTAACCAGTCACAAACAGCTTTCTATTCTGATCAGTGGTGCAGAAGTAGTAGAGCTAAGCTTTTTATTTTAATAATGCTGGATTACACAAATATTTTCAGTAACCTAAGAGCCCTTTGTCACAGGAAACAGTTTCATGATGCCACTTTCTATTTACACAGACATTACCAGTTTTATTTTAATACCAGTGGATCAATGAACAACATCTCAAATGTTATTAACGTGCCAATGAGAACTGATAATTGATCACCAAGACTGGATACAAAACAAAAGCAGGTGTACTAGAAAATGATGAATGGCAAAATGAGTGCTGATATGACATGGAATGAATTGAATGGGCTGAAGACTGGTATCTATGCAGCTGTGGGATATCTGAAGGAGGCCAAGATGGATCATCCATTTGGCACTTCTGGCCAAAAACTGCTTTGAATGCCTCAGGCTTATCTTTTGTGCTGAAGTACTCGGCTCCCCCATTGAGGATGGGAATGTTGGTGGAGCACCCTCCTCCACTGAATTGATTAATTGTCCACCACCATCTACGACTAGATGTGGTAGGACTGTCTTCCAAGAGGTTATCTGAAAACTGCATAATTATGATTTTAGTGTAACCTATTTAACAGGCAGTGTACCATGACTGAAAAAAACCAAGACTTGCAATTGCTGGGAAGTTGGCAAATGTGGAGACACTGTTACATCATGTTAGATTGCACTGCTAAACAGGGTGATGCTGACAGTAATCACACATACTGACAACTGGAGAGCATCATATCCACAATTAGGGAGGGTAATGTCACAAATGTACACCATCTGGCAACTTGGTCACCACACTCGAAGGAGAAGGGTGTACAGGGCGATGATGAAACAGCAGGAAAGTTAGACTAATCGAGTAGCTGTTTCAAATAGCTGGCACAGACACAACAAACTGAATGGCTTCCTCTGTCTAAATCAGCTAGAGAACAAAAACATTTACAACTTTAAAACAATACTGGATTTAGTTTCAACGACAATCTGAGCAATTCAGAAACTAACCTGTTTCTGATCTGTGATGTGTATAACAGTTAAGACCCTGAGAGCAAGGCAGACTTAAAATAATATTTTTCACCTTTAGTCGCTGACTGCAACAAAGCAGAGCTTTTTGAATATCACACTGCCTTGTGACAGGACACATTTGTGTTGGCTGTAATGTAGTCTGTAGGTACGATGTTTCAACCCCTTCCCACAACACAGAACTAGGCAAAAAACTACTTCAACATTGCCATTTTGGAACATAACGTTTAGATTTTTTTTTAAAGGGCAAGATCATCTTCCTCAGATTCTTTGCAACCAGAAGTAGTAAAACTTGTATTTCTGGCTCTGACACTACAGGGCTGTATTCAATCCGAGGTAAAGGTTGTTAGAAAACTTTCTGTTCTATCACATGTAACTGGAAATCTAAAATTGATGCCAATAAAGTAAATTTAAATAAAGGCATGGAGTTTATTAAAAGTGCAAGAGAATAACAATTCAGACATGCTGAAAGTAACATCATTTTAATACAACCATGACAAACCAAAATTTTTTTTATATGTATTGAAAATGGAAGTTCTTCAAACAAATGCTGATTTAAAGATGTTTTGATAATGCTCATTGAACAGCTTTAGGTTCAAACCTGGTGTAACTGCTATCCTACTTAACAGTTCAAATTTTATGATGTTGGCTGTCAGGGCTCTTCTTAAAGAACGGAATGATATAAATATAAAAGCCTCTCACTACCTCCAATTAAGCACCACTAAGCCTATAAAGTACTTTTTAAGTGTAATCACAGATATAATATGAGGAAACACAGCTGTGCTCATCCAGCTCTACACCTTGTTATCTCAGATTCTCCAGCATCGGCAGTTCCTATTATCTCTATAATATGAGGAAGCTGAGCAACAAATTTGTACACAGCAAGGTCCTCCAAATGAGAAAAAAATTTCAGCTTCAATAATTGATGTTTGCTAAGGCAGTGACCAGATCATTATGGAGAACTGTCATCGTCTCTGAAACAGCTCTATGGTACTTTTATTTTCACCCAAAGTAGCCTCGCTCTTACATTTGGCTAAAAGATAATGCAGTGCTGCTTTATTACTACATTTAAGTGCCAGCTAGATAGCATACTTAGGTTTCCAGAGCAGGACTTGAACCCACGACCTGTTAAAGCAGCAGCGCAAGTGTTACCACTTAGCAACTTGTGGCACCAATTTTGAAATTTGAAACGTTAAGAAAGAAATGAAGGAGTGAAAATAGGAGCGACACTTCACTGGGATTGAGTACCTGAATATTGCTGGGAAAAGAATTTAATCACTTTTTGCATTTCGATCAAGATATTAAGAGTTTTCTAAATTTATTACTTATAAACTTTTTCTCCCCTTTTATGCAATAAACCTGTGTACTTTTGTTGATCACTGGTAGCCTTGCGTGAATATGTTCAGTGACAAAGCACCACAGTAACCAGATGCAAAATTTACACTTATAATCTAACAAGCCAATAATACGGAAGGCAAATGGAATGTTTTCCTTTAATTCAAAGCAGAGAGACTTTACTGAAACTATTCAGACCACATCTGGAAAACTGAACAGTTTTGGGCTCCTTATCTAACGAAAGATATACAGGCAGTCAGAGAAGGTTGACTAGGCTGATACCAGGTACGGAGGGACTGCCTTATGAGACGATATTGAATAGTTTGGACCTATAATCTCTGGTATTCAGAAGAATGAGAGGCAACTTTAGTAAAACTTACAGGATTCTTGGGGGACTTAACAGGGTAAATGCAGAAAGGTTGTTTCCTCTTATGGGAAAGTATAACACCAGAGGGCATATGTCAATCTCAGAATAAAAGGTCTGACATTTAGGTGCGGGGAAATTTCTTCTCTCAGAGGATAGTGAATTATAGAAGGCTGTTGAGACAAAATTGTTAAGTACATGCAAGGCTGAGATAGACATTTTTAATCAGTAAGGGAATCAAGGGTTATAGGGAAAAGACAGGCAAGTGGAGTTGAAAATTACCAGATCAGTAGTGATCTCATTGTATGGCAGCGCAGACTCGATAGGCTGATGGCATACTTCTGCTCCTACATCCCATGGTCTTAAGGTTTCACTATGATATCTGACTTGCACAATATAGCCATCAATTGGGATAACACCAAAAGAATTTTCTTACTCCACATACTCACAGAACAAAGCTAACCAATTTAAAATAAAGTCACCGTGATCCTAGGGGATCACAGGGTTGCGCACTCATTAGAGAAACATGACTGGTGGTGGTTAACCTGAAGATCACCGTGCATCAAACAAGGCGAGAATTGGGAAAGAGAGTCCTTCATGGTAAACGCAGCTAGCGTGGGATATAAACCAATGCAGCTGGCTTTACAAATCAGTCATTCAGCCAAGTGAACTAACTGACCCTCAACGTACAAACTCATTTACTGCCCAATGGGTCAGAAGTTACACAATGGTTTGATATTTTGAAATGGAAGCTGTAAGAAGTGGGGACCAGGTAAGAGTAGAAAGCAACACTTGGTTTGTAAAATGGATCACAGACACTATTATACATCTTGAGCACCAAAATGTTTTGGGGATGGCAGGGTGGGACGGAGCAAGAGAGAAATACATTGAATTATCTGTGATAAACTGACAGTCCAAAAGAATGAATGCAATTTACAGATCGCATATAGTGACAAATTCAATACAAAAGTACAAATGGTTACAGCACACACAAACGAAGACCTACTTTCTTGTCATCTGTGCTCATTTGACACATGAGCATGTTTATGTTATCGGTGTTCCACACCCATGAATGGCTTGTGAAGTATTCAACCAGCATCATTGATCTGTGCAGCCGATTAATGACTTTCATCATCCTAAAGATCAAGAAAGTCAGGTTAATCATCACAACAGAAGGATATTAGCTATACATCTTTTAGCATGAAAACAAATTGGCAAATACAACAAACAACACAACACAACAGCTCAAACTGCAAAGTTATTTTCTAATAAAAAAAACAACATAACGATTTTAATTTAAAAAAAGATTAAATCTCTGATTCCCTCTAAAGCATCTGGCGACAACAATGAATCAGGGACAAATTTACGAAACAAAGTTTCGGTGATAAACTCCGTAATTCCAATGGAATTACACTTCGCCTCACTAGTCCATAAGCAAAAGCAGAATTTCAAAAGGTACTTATCAACAATAGTTTATGTAACCATCTCAGTGTAGCTCATCACCAACATGAAACATCAAATTTTAGCACTGGAGTTTAAATACAAATCAAAGAACAGATACGCAAGCGTCAGAGGATTTCCAAAATTCCCTGAGTTTGACATTCTGCAGAAATATTTTTTGGGGGCTGTGGGGCAGGGATCAGCAGGAGGAGTCTGCAAATGTTGAAAATCAAAATCAAAATCAAAAGCACAATATATGGTTACAGAAGGCAGATCCATCACTACCTTAAGTAAAAGCTGCTTTGCCAGAGATGCTGTCAGGTAATCAGTCAAAACTAATAATGCCATTTTTCTCTACAAATAGACTTCACATGGGCGAATATCGCGATTTTCAGGAGTTACAAGAAACTTTTCAATTTAACAAAACTTTCTGATCCCACTGATTTCCAAAGTAGAAGCTATAGGAGGGCAAGTACCATGTAGTGTATGAAACAGAGACTGAAAAGTTGAAATTTCCAAAACAAACAGCAAGCCTTATCACAGGTTTTACATCTAAATGATAATCTGGTTAGAATCAGACATACTAGAATCCAGATTTACTGATTAGCATTTGCAATTACTGAAAACCAGAACCACCAGTTTATGAGGATATGCCAAATTTTGTTTTGTTGCATTATTTGAGATTCCAGTATTTTTTTGTCGATAATATGGACAATTCTGGAAATCACATCTGAGAAATGATAAGTTTATCATTTGCAGTGCTGTAGATTAACACTATAGATGTGCAGATGCAGTGTAGAAAGATAATGGACTCATTAATCACCAGCCCACTTCAAATTTGCTTCATTGGCTAACATTCTTGTGGATGTAAAATGTCTGAACCCTTTTTTCTATAATTTTCTATAGTAAACGTTTGCTTCAGTAGATGAGAAATGCCATTTCAGGAGGAAATACCCTGACTAGAAAATCAAATTGGTTCATAAACAATTGTACAGTTTTTGTTTTCTACCACACCAATCACTTTCCTAAAACTGAGCATTCCAAGAAATTCCTGACATCAGTCCTCAATGTGCCAGTTACTAACTTGAACTGATGTTCTCTTGCCCTATTCTTGCAATATATCTTCCATACCTTTTATCATGTTGTGTAACTTCAAAATTAATTCTCCTTTCAAACTGTTAAGCCCAAGGCTTTTCCAACGCCTTTCTGAACAAACTATACGTCAGACCAGGGATTGCCCTTCTGCCTCTTCACTTCCTCCAGCACTCAAATATTTTTGTTTCTATTTTAAATATATAGCATTGGTAGATTTCTTAATATCATCACCACAAATGCTCATGAGAAATCTCAAAAGACACTAATTTGCTATCAAGGTACAAGTGAAGTTCTTCCTGTATAAGATCTATTTCTCAAAGTACATTACATAGAATTGCAAATGTCTACCAGTCAGAAACAGGCTATTCAGGGCAACAGGTTCACGCCAATGTTCATATTTTACATGAGCTTCCTCTCATCCCTTTTCAATCTAGAAATTCATAGCACTGCAGCTTTCTCAGTGCGTGGTCTATCAATGATGAGGTAAGCACAGGACCCTTTCAAAGCCAGTTTCTGATGAGTGTAAAAGGGGCAAGGGCTATACATGGAAGAACCTCTCATAAACTTTGCTCAATGTTAAACTTGCAGAAAAAAATCTCTGGTCGAGTCTCAATACACTGCAGTCTCCAACATGTCCTTAAAGTATTAAGTGGTAGTGCGACTTTGTTTTATTCATTTCACTTGACCCAGGGTCAACAGCGAACAATACAAATATGAGTATTTGATGCAACGGTGTTGCATCCAGTTTGAAACGCTAGCTTTAGGCTGAGACTAACAAATGGAACAAACTGAATTATTCTACACAGAAACAGTCCAATCAAGCCGACTAGACTGAAAAGGGACTTTTCTTTGTACACGATTCTATTATGATACTGCCTCTTGTCAAGCTCCCAAAATATTTCTTTTCCCTTTGTTCACAAGTATGCATCATCTATAGTACTGTAGATATATTGCACTTTCTATTGGTATTCATTTTATATTATGTTGAAATAAGGCTATGAACGCAGGAACAGGAGCAGGCCATTCAGCCCCTCGAGCTAATTCCACCATGCAATGAGATCATGGCTGATCTGTGGCATTACTCTGTATAACTGCATTTGGCCCACATCCCTCAATATCTTTGCATAACAAAAATTTATCCATCTCAGATTTAAAATTAACAAATGATCGAGCATCAACTGTTGTTTGTAAGTTCTGGTCCTAATACACAAGTTTGCAACCTAATTCTAGAATCCCCAACCAGTGGAAATAGTTTATCTTTATCTACCCTGAAATTTTCCTGTTAATATCTTGAAAGCTTTGATCCGATCACTCCTTAATCTCCTAAATTCTACAGAAAACAGGCCTAATTTTCATCCTCTCTTCTCATAACTTAACCCCCAAAGTCCAGGTATCATTCTTGGAAATCTACGTTGTATCCTCCAAGGCCAATATATCCTTCCTCAGACGTGGTATCCAGATCTGCTTTCAGTTCTCCAAGTGGGGTCTAACCTCATCTTGGTATAGCTACAACATAACTTCTGAATTCTTATACTCCACTCCTCTAGGTATAAAGGCCAGCATTCCATTAGCCTTCTTGATTATTTCCTGCATTTGATCGTGGCATTTTGAAGACAGGAAAGTGATGAGAGAAAGAATGGAGAGAAAGGAAAGAGGAGAGGTGAGAGAAAGAATGAGACACTCAAACCATGACTTGGTGAGAGAAGTTCTGCCCTTTGAGGAAGGCTGCAGTGCCAACATTGCTTACATTGTCACACCAAGAACCAGTTAATTTTCTTAATGCCTATTATGCGATAATTATTAGGAAATTGATACAGACGTAGCTTTGGCACAAATAGCCTAGGCTGGTTTTTATGCCGCACTTGAGCCCCTTTCCATCTTTTCTAATCCGTCATTTCTCATCTAAGTATGTTATTGCAGTCCTCTGTTCTTTTCTTCCCTCAAATGCTTGTCCAGCCTGTCCATTAATGCACCTATACTATTCCCTTCAACCTGTGGTAGTGAATTCCACTGTCATTACCAAGTGGACCAAAAACAGTTGAACGCATTTCTTCAGCATGTATCACTGCAACTAGGTGAAACAAATCAGTCTTAAAAGAAAAAGTTGATGTAAAAAGTTTACTAGTCACCCAATAGAGGTCTTTAAATTATGAAAGGTTTTGATACAATGGTTACAGAGAAAATGTTTCCTCTGTGGGGAAGAGCGTAAAAAAGGCCTTCAATATCAGATAGTCACCAGAGATCCAATAAGAAATTCAGAAGAAAAATCCTTTTGCGATCGATGGTGACAAAGTGGAATTCACTACCACAGGTTGAAGGGAATAGTATAGGTGCATTAATGGACAGGCTGAACAAGCATTTGAGGGAAGAAAAGAACAGAGGACTGCAATAAAATACTTAGATGAGAAATGACGGATTAGAAAAGATGGAAAGGGGCTCAAGTGCGGCATAAAAACCAGCCTAGGCTATTTGTGCCAAATATTTTCTGTACCTTTTTTCTAACCTGTGCAACCCTAAGTGAAACAAACTAGAACAATTTAATATCCCACTTGACCACTGGTAACTACTGACACTCCTGTTACAGCAATTAAACTGCTGCTTCTAGATACTCATGCCAAGGGATCGGATGGCATTGTATGACTTGTACCATCCTCACACATCCACTACAGCATTTTTGCAAGCACTCTGTGACATTTGTCTTCCAACTAAGCATAAGCCAAACACTCTTTCTGCTGTCCCCGACTTTACCCTGTAAATGCCATCTCCATACCTTTTCAGTTCTGATCAAATGGCTGAAATATCGATAACTGTTCCTTTTGGATATAACCTTTATAAATTTCCTTTGCTCTTCCTATTTGGTTAACCTGTTCAATTGTCTTAGGGTGTGTATACAGAATTTTCAGCATATGTTTAAGCATACACTTTCTTCCATAGATCTATATTTATTGTCTAGCATTCTTATCAGTTTTATTTGCCTTGCTACAAGTTTAATTTTTCTGGTTCTTAACACATCCTTCATCTTCACAAAATTACTGCTGGCCATCTCGATCTTTCAACTAACTTCTATATCACATCTGCCATCTTGTGTTATAATTTGTCTTAAATAGACAAACTTAACTTCTTCCAGTTTGACACAATTCACTCAAATCTTCCTTCTAGTTGCTTCAAGGTTATTCCTTTCAATTACCATTGTTTTTGGCTTTTGAGTGTTCTTACTTAATAAGTATTGTAAATTTCTGTTTTTTTTTTTTTTAATATTTCTAGTCAACCTATTCAAAGGTGTTATTATACATCTCTGGTAGAGGTGCGACCAGAACCCAGGCCTTTTGGTTCAAGGGTAGGGACACTATAACTGCACCACAAGAGGACCCACTGCAAATTTGTTATGGTCTTGCCTAGCATCAGTTTCAGCTGGTTTGGTGTGACACCACCACCCTCCTGTACACAAAGTCTGGGAACGTCAGAAAATCCTAACAAGCAAGTAGGATAAGGGATCAAAAGGCAATTAAGCAACATAAAGTATTATTTAGAAGTGAAGACATCGTCATCACATTTCTTAAATCTTAATTAAGACTGGCACCACAAAAGGCAACCCCTCCCC